GATGATTTTATAGCCAATAACAAATTCAAACCCATAAAACTTTTAACTCCCATTTTTCCAAAAATGCTTATCATCAAATGCCACAACTAGATCAGTCAAACAAGGATCTTGAATATTCTGAAACCGTGTATACTCATAAAGAAAATAACAAAAGCTTATTTAAGTACGCTACTTACAGCTTGTACTCCAAATAATCATCATTCTTGAATTCTTTTAAGCTCCCACTAGCCCGTTTTCTTCCCCTCTCAATGTGGAATCTAGTTGGGCACTCGACCTTAGAACACTCTCCAACGATAAAGGCATCAACTCGATCATAAGGAATTAAAGCCACGTCATCACATCTGTCTGCACTCCCAAACTTAGCCCAATTCAAATCCGCTGGCGCTGACGAGAAGTCTTCTCCAGGCGGATCTTGCACCGGAAGATCATCAATGGATTCAATTATATCCATGAGCTTCAGTTGTAGTCCTTTTTAGTGGACAATATTATATTACCATCCATAATCCACTCAGTGTTCACAGAACAAAACTGCACAAATGAGAAATAAAGAACATAAATTTCAACTTTAATCTCCTTTGTTGTTTGCCATCATAGCCAACTCATATTCCAATCATCAAGTTTTTAGAGAAAGGGAATCACGTGCAAGAGAGGTAATAAGAAATCATACATAACGTAGGTTCTACAACAAGGACATTTGTAAACTGAAGTACAGGCCTAGTCACATAGAGATGCGGGACCAGCCCTCGGCCAAACGAGTATTTCACAGAGAGCCGACAAGGAATTCCATTAATGACTGTAAATATTCAAATTCTGCGACAGAGATGACAATAAACCAGGTACTCAAAGAAAGGACTTAAAATACTTTTCCCATCTGAACTATCACGGTTTTGGCGCATCACCATATAAACTATCTTTTTTTCCAAACCACCATATGAATTATGCGGGTTTGTCAATATGCCCTCTAAATCGGATATAAAAGTTGTTTATGGGGCACATTAACAAACCCGTGATAGTTCATATGGTGGTTTGTAAAAGTATTTAGGGGCACATATAGTGACCAAAC